TTGCCATTGCTTTGGTCTTCGTTTGTGGTGGCGTCGAGCCAACGAACACCGAACGCGATCGCTGCCATCTACAAAGGAGTTTGCGGTGAGGTGAGGTGAGGTGAGGTGCGGTACGAATTGTCTGTATGTGCAGTTGTTTGGTTCACGTTTCACAGCATTATTGATCCTTAGCTCTACCCGGTGTTTAGTTTGAAACAGTTGTCATCGTCTACATTTTTATGTATATATATATGTATTTATATTGTATGGTGCGTTCGAAGCTTCGGGCGTGGGACTGCAGAAGCAAGAATCCATGGCCAACCCTAACGAATGCAATGCAATGCGTTGGACTGCTCTGCACTGCACTGCACTGCACTGCATTGTACACCGCCGCGCCATCGGCGGCACCCCGCGAGCGCGTCTGGCGCAGGTGGATGACACTGACACACCCCGCAACCCTGAAACAATGGGCATCGATTCCGTTCCGTGACTGTTAGGCCTGGTTGGCACTGCTTGGCTTGGGTTGGCACTGCTTTGTTTTGCGCCGATCCAATTGGTCGCAAAACCAAGAGAGAAATACGGGCCAAGCAAGAGGTTTCCATCCCGTTCCATTGCAGTATGGTGAGCGGTGCTTGTGCTTGCCCCGGAGTCAAGGTCGCTGCGTGCCTGTCTTGAATTGCCTTGGAGCATCGGGCAGTGCTGTTCTAGGTTGTGCTGTGCTGGGCCGTGATGACATTCTACACAAAGAATACTGATGTCTTGTCTTGTCCTGTCTTGCCTCTTTCTTGGGTACGTCCTCTTCGAAACTCGTTTTGGTTTTGGTTTCGGTTTCGTTTTGATTCCATTCCATTCGTTGGAAGGTGTTCAATCGATTCCTTATAGCTCGCTTGTTTAGTAATAGCCGTTGCCGTGGTTTTCGCCGGAGAAGCCAAAGTTGACGCCAAAGTTATGGCCGAGGCCGAGCTCCACCCCGAAAGGGTCGCCGCTTTCGTCGGAGGCATCGTCGGAGGCATCGTCCTCGTCAAAGGCGTTGCACCGGCGAATGGCAAAGAGGTCCAAGGCGTGGCCTTTGTCGTTGTCGTCCTCGATGGGGGTCGCTGCTACAGTTGCTGCTGCTGCTGCTTCTTCTTCCAGCCCCTTGGAGCGAAAGATYGGGGACAAGAAGGCGCCGGTGGCGGTGTGGTGGCTGCTGCTGCTGCTGTTGCCGCCGGCCTTTGGGTGGCAGTGCTTCGAGCCGGTGGAGGGCCTGAGAAAGGGGGAGGACCGGGGGCGTCTCGCGGGGCGTTCGCCGGTGGCGTTGGAATCTTCGGAGCACCACAAAAAGGGCTGCCGTACCGGGGAGGGGGGAACCGCAACGGCAGCTGTTGCTGTTGCTGCGCCTGTTGCTGCTGCTGCTGCTGCTGCTGCTCCTGCTCCTGCAAGTCCCCTCTGGTGGGGCAGGCCGCTGGGAGCCGGGGGAAAGGCCCGAAAGGGGCTCGAGAGGTCCCGGGGCGGAGTCATGGGGATCTTCTTGGGGGAGACCGGGACCCCCCGGCTGTCGGCGTAGGCGCACGGGGCGACGGAGGGAGAGACCAGAGCGGCCGAAGGCGTCGGCGATGGCGTAGCAGCAGGCGAAGAAGAAGCACCGGCCTTTGCCTTCTCGGTCTTGTGGTGCGTATGGACGGCTTCGGTGGACTCGCTGCTCCGGCTGCGGTTAAAGTCATAGCTCACCGTCTCGAGGGCGGGGGAGGAAGCAACAGCAGCGACCATGGAGCCGGGCGCGGTCGAGGAAGAGAGGTGGTGGTGGTGGTGGTGGTGGTGGTTGCCGATTCGCATGGTGGTCGTGTTTTGGTTTGTTTGCTTGCTTGTTTGTTGGTTTGTTTGCTTGCTTGCTTGCTTGTTGGTTGAATGGGATTGGAAAAGGGAAACTTTCTTGACCGAGATGCTTGTAGTAAGTAATGCTTGTACCCTGTGGTGGAACAGTTTGTTTTCTTGTGGTAAGATGAGATGAGATGGAATCGGATCAAACGACGATTGTATGAATAAGTCGTGTTGTGCTGTGTTGTGCTGTGTTGACTTGAGTTGAGTTGACTTCAGTTGACTTGAGTTGTGATGCGAGTGCTGGTGTCAAGTAGAAGTACTGTACAAGAATTGTGTACCGTACAGCAAAAACCCATTCCCTCGTTCGTTTGGAACGGAAGGCTTCGTTGGTCTCGGGCTCGGACACGAGTCGATCGGTGCCGACCGAGCGGCGAGGGAACAGGCTTCACCACCACAACGCGTGAAATACAGGGCGCGAACAATTGTTCCCGCAGAACACCCAAAGAACCGACCCTTTCTTGTTGCATTCAAATTCAAATCAAATCAAATCCAATCGAATCGATTCAATTCAAATCGAATCGAATCAGATAAATCGAACAATCGATTCAAACCAAAAACCACACCATTGGTTTCCATATATACCGTGCTATACGTACCGTGCCATGCGTACGGTGCGACAGGTACCGTACCAGGTACGGCACTCGCACCGACCACCCGCGCCCGGAGAGCAAACGGGTCGTTTCGCGGCTCGTTCCGGCCCTTGTGAACGGCAACCTCCCGCGCAGCAGGGTGCTAAGTAGATCGCGGAAGCGTCGGTTGTCCGCGCGGTGTGGGTCCCAAACGGGGGGCCTACACGAGTCCCCTATTCCCGGTTGGGCCTAGTCCCACATCGGGCAAACGACTCGGCGAGCGGTACCCTTCGGTGCATGCCGAACCCCCCAGGGGAAGGGGTGCTATTTGCACTATTGCCCGCCCCCGCCGTCCGCCGATCGGGTCATTTRTTTTCCCGCAATCTCGGTTGGTCACGCAACACGCGACGCGAACGCAGAACGACAAACCGTCGTTCGGTACTTGTCGTGTCGGAACTCGGAATTCGAATCGGTGGAGGACGGACGTAACTTACAATGTTCTCGTACGTACGAACTTGTCCAACAACCTAACACCGACCTCTGTGCTGGAACGTGTTGGTGTCAACCTTGCTGTTCTTCCTTGTTCCTTCGGTTCGGATCCAGAGAGTACCATACGGTACGTACTCGTACGTATCGTTGCAATCGTATCGTATCGTTCGACAATGTTATTCGTACGTACAAAGTGCTTCTTGTGGGGTAGTGCACATACCACAATCACGAGTAGCTAATGAATAACCTCACTCTTTATTGTAAACCACCTACAGTATTATCATACACTAGATAGCCTATCAGCATTTCACAACCCCAACCCCAACCTTCCACCTACGGTGGATACATTCCTGCCTTGTTGTCTAACTAACTAACTAACTTACTAGCTAAGTAGCTAGCTAACTAGCTAGCTAACTACCTATTGAACTGCCTACCTACCTACCTACCTACCTACCTACCTACCTACCAACCTGCCCACCTAGTACCGCCCCGATCGACTCCACTGCGCCAGGGTCTTGTGGTATAGGTCGTCGAGGACGGACATGGTCCGGTTCGTGTAGACCCGCTCCCGTTCGCCGATCCAGGCCGTCCGG